CTCCAACTCCTGGGCTCAAGCGAGTCTCCTGTCTCTGCCTCCCAAGTAGCTGGGACTACAGGCACCTGCCACAACGCCTGGCTATTTTTTGGCTGCAGCCATCATTGTTGTTTGGTAGGCCTGGGCTGGATTCAAACCCGCCAGCTCAGGTGTATGTGGCTGGCACTTTAGCCGCTTGTGCCACAGGCGCCAAGCCTATGATGAACTTTTAAACTATAATCATGCATTTAAACCATGCACTTGTAATACATGAATAAAAATTATTTTAATTGGATTAACAATTATTATTAACTTAATTCTTTATATAACTTACAACTTAATTATTATATAACTTTTTTTTGGAGGGGGGCAGAGTTTTACTTTGTCACCCTCAGTAGAAGCTATGGCTTCGTAGCTCACAGTAACCTCAAACTATTAGGCTCAGGTGATTCTCTTGTCTCAGCCTCCTGAGTAGCTGGGTCTATAGGCGCCCAGCACAATGCCTGTTATTTTTTTCAAGACAAGGTCTGACTCTGGCTCAGGCTGGTCTCCAACTCATGAGCTCAGGCAATCTACCTACCTTGGCCTCCCAAGTGCTAGGATTATAGGCGTGAGCCACCACACCTGGCCATAATTATTATAACATTATTATTATTATTATTATTAACTTAATTCTCAATTTTTTCTTATTAATTTGTAAGTCTTTTTATTTTTTTTTGCTTTGGAAAAAGAGTCTCACTCAGTCGCCCTGAGATTAAGTGCCATGCATCAGAGCTCACAGCAATCTCAAACCCTTGGGCTCAAGTGATTTTTTTGCCTTAACTCCCAAGTAGCTGGGACTATAGGTGCCTGCCACAATACCCAGCTATTTTTTAGAGATGAGTGTCTTGCTCTGGCTGAAACTGGTCTTGAACTCCTGAGCTCAAGCAATCTATAGGCCTCAGCCTCCCAGAGTACTGGGATTACAGGTGTGAGCCACCATGCCTGGCCCTTGTAAATCTTTTTCATCCTTACCTTCTTTCCACCTGGCTTCTCCACAGTGAAAACTTCACTCCAAATTTGAATCCCAGTGGTTTCTGGGTCAGAGCCCCCTCGCCATGAAAATCCTGTTAATGGTTCTTCTGGATCACCCAACCAATTTGAATGGCCACCTTCCTTCTACAGAAGAAATTAGAAATTTCCATTAATTCTTTTTTTTTTTTGAGACAGAGCCTCAAGCTATCCCCCTGAGTAGAGTGCCATGGCATCACGCTCACAGCAACCTCCAACTCCTGGGCTCAAGTGAGTCTCCTGCCTCAGCCTCCCAAGTAGCAGGGACCACAGGCGCCTGCCACAACGCCTGGCCCATTTTTTTTTTTTTTTGGTTGCAGCCATCATTGTTGTTTGGCGGGCCCAGGCTGGGGATTCGAACACGCCACCTTAGGTGTATGTGGCTGGCGCCTTAGCCGCTTCAGCCACAGGTGCCGAGCCCATTAATTCTTAATAAATTTTACACATCAAAGAAAATCCACGAGTCTACTTTGCTTTTTTATACATAAAAGTCTCATTTTCTCTTTTTTTTTTTTTTTTTGAGACAGAGTCTCACTTGCTCACCCTCAGTAGACTGCCATAGTGTCTTAGCTCATAGCAACCTCAAACTCTTGGGCTTGAGCGATTCTCTTGCCTTAGCCTCCCAAAGAACTTGGGCTACAGGTGCCCTTCACAACACCCAGCTATTTTTTAGAGACAGGGTCTCGCTCTTGCTCAGGCTGGTCTCAAACCTGTGAGCTCAGGCAATCCACCTGCCTCAGCCTCCCAAGTGCTGGAATTATAGGAGTAAGCCACCATGCCCAGCTCATATTCTAATTTTTCTTTTTTTAAGAGACAGAGTCTTATTCTGTCACTCACACTGGAGTACGATAGCATAATTATAGCTGGCTGCAGCCTCAAACTCCCAAGCTCTAACAATCCTCCCACCTCAACCGCTTGAATAGTAGATGGGACTATAGATATGTACCACCACTCCTGGCTAATCTTTTTAAGAGATGGGGTCTTGCTATGTTTCTCAAGCTGGTCTTGGACTCCTGGCCTCAAGCAATCCTCCCAGTTCGACCTCCCAAATTACTGGGACTACAGGCATGAGCCACTGCACCCAGCCTCATTTTCTAATTTGAAATGAAATAATTCCACCTTACCTGAGAATACAAGTATCGCAGCATAAAGTCCAGAATGAAGGACTTGCCCTTTCTAAAGGCACCAGCCACTGACACTACCACCACATCAAGATCTCGGATGTGGTCCTGCAAGAGGATGCTGGCCAAGGCTTTCTCTTCTAGCTCAAAAGAATGTTGGTCTTTGTGAACCAAAACAACCTGCACTGGACCAGGCTTGCTGTTCTCCATGGCATCACCTGTTAACATAGAAAAAGAAATTAGTTTCAAACGTTTTTTAATATGTATTTTTTAATATCAAGAGAACAAAAACTACTTAAAGAGGACACAAAAGTACTAATCATAAAACAAAATAAAATGACAAATTAGACTTCATTAAAATTAAGAATTTTTGTTTGGGCTGGGCGTGGTGGCTCAAACCTGTAATCCTAGCACTCTGGGAGAACAAGGTAGGTGGATTGCTTGAGCTCACCAGTTCAAGACCAGCCTGAGAGCAAAACCGAGACCCCCCATCTCTACTAAAAATAGAAAAACTGAGGCAAGAGGATTACTTGAGTCTGAGCTGGAGGTTGCTGTGAGCTGTGACAAAAAATTTTTATTCAAAAATTTTTTATTCAAAAAATTTTATTTTTATTCAAGCTACCCAAGGCGATAGCTTGAGACTTTGCCTCCAAAAAAAATATTTTTCTCTTATTTCGCAAAAGATGCCAATATGAGAATAAAAATACAAGCCACAGACTAGGAGAAAATATTCATTCACAAAACCTATTTCCAAAGGACTTAACATTCAGAATCAATACGGAAATCTCTAAGAAAAAAAATTAACAATTTTTTTTTTTTTTTGTGAGACAGAGCCTCAAGCTGTCCCCCTGGGTAGAGTACCTTGGCATCACAGATCACAGCAACCTGCAACTCCTGGGCTCAAGCCTCAGGAGTCCCCTGCTTCAGCCTCCCAAGCAGCTGGGACCACAAGCGCCCACCACAACGCCCAGCTTTTTTTTTGTTCCAGCTGTTATTGTTTTGGCAGGCTGGGCTGGATTCAAACTCGCCACCTTAGGTGTATGTGGCTAGCGCCTTAGCCACTTGAGCCACAGGCACCAAGCCCCATTTAAAAAAATTTTTTTTATAAAGATAAGGTCTCAGCAGATTGCCCAGGCTAATCTCAAATTTTTGGCCTCAAGTGACTCTTCCACCTTGGCCTCCCGAAGTGTTGGGATTATAGGCATGAGTCCAATTTTTTTGAATAATAATAATGGATAAAAGACTGTCAATAGGCACTTAACAAAAAAAACCCCACATAGTCAATAATATGAAAAGGTGCTTCCATACTATTTATCACAATAAGAAACCACTACCTGCCCATGAGAATGGCTAAAATTTACAAGACCAACAATATTGACTATAAGAAAGGATGTGAGTCAACTGGAAATCTCATACATGCTGATAAGAGTACCTGAACAGTATAACTACTTTGGAAAACTGGCTTTATCTATGAAGATAAATTCCACTCCTAGGTATGTACCTAAGAAAAATAAATGCATAAGTCCACCAAAAGATATATATGTAAGAATGTTTTGCTTTTTTTTTGAGACAGAGTCTATGTTGCCCTGGGTAGAGTGCCATAGCATCACAGTTAACAACAACCTCAAACTCTTGGGCTCAAGTGATTCTCTTGCCTCAGCCTCCCAAGTAGCTGGGACTATAAGCACCTGCCACAAGGCCCAACTATTTTTTTTTTTTTTTTGAGATAGTCTCAACTTTGTCACCCTTGATAGAGTGCTATGGTGTCACAGCTCACAACAATCTCAGATTCTTGGGCTCAAGTGATTCTCTTGCCTCAGACTCCCGAATAGCTGGGACTACAGGCGCATGCCACAACACCCGGCTATTTTTAGAGAGGGGGTCTTGCTCTAACTCAGGTTAGTCTCAAACTAGTGAGTTTAGGAGATCTGCCCGCCTTGGCCTCCCAGAGTGCTAGGATTACAGGTGTTAAGTCACCACACCCAGCCCACCAGCTATTTTTAGAGACAGGTCTCCTCTAGCTCAGGCTGGTCTCAAACCGGTGAATTCAGGCAATCCACGGCCTTGGCTCCCAGAGTGCTAGGATTATAGGCGTGAGCCACCATGCCCACCGTGCAAAAATGTTCACATCAGCTTTCCTCAAAATAATCCACAAGTGGAAATAATATAAATATCTATCAACAGTAAAAAGTATGTCTCCCACTGCTGAGCCTTCTACATGTTGCATTTAATCTTTAGAAGAACAATATGACATAAACAAAAAATGTCCCCCCCCTTTTTTGCAGTTTTTGGCCAGGGCTGGGTTTGAACTCACCACCTCCGGCATATGGGGCCGGTGCCCTACTCCTTTGAGCCACAGGCACCACCCAAATGCCCCATTTTAAAAATAAGAAAATGAATGCTTACAAAGGCTTAGTGTCTTGCCCCATAGGTTCTGGAGATAAGCTCAAAAATATTATTAAGTGGCTATATTTCACAGATCATTCTTTAACAACTCAAAGTTTTAGTGCAATTCATTCTACAGTTCAAAATTAAGCACTAACTAGTACTTTCCCTGACAGAGTTGAAGGCACAAAGATATTCTTTGAAATTCAGAGCTGCTTAGTAGCTATGAATTTAAGGAAAGTTTATAAAAAACTACCAATGGGATGGCTTGGCGCCTGTGGCTCAAGTGGCTAAGGCACTAACCACATACACCTAAGGTGGCAGTTTCAAATCCAGCCCAGGCCCACCAAAACAACAACGATGGCTGCCAAAAAATAGCTGGGTGTTGTGGCGGGCGCCTGTGGTCCCAGCTACTTGGGAG